ACATGACGACCATCATACATTGTCTAGATGGTATTAAGGCAGACTCAAGGGGGCAAAAAGTTGAGAACATATATTTCAAACTAAAGGCAGGGTCAAGAGGAGCGCAGATCACCAAATAACCAGAGATGCACTCGATGCCCTTCAGAGTGGCTTACCAGTCACTATCACGCGCACCCTTTCACTCAACTCAAAACTCCCTATTCCAATCAACACAATGGCATCACCTTGTTTTTAATGCTCTCAACCTTCAAACTACCTTCTGGGCAGACTCTCAGGCGCACCTTAGCTGTGATGCTGCGCTTGGCCTTGCCCAGCTTGGCCGTGAGAGCACTGGCCGCCTTGCTCAGAGCCTGCACCTCTGCCTCCACCGCCTCTGCCTGGGCCTTGGCCTCTGCATGCAGCAAGAAGGACAGAAGATTTCAACAGGCGAATTAAGACACCTCCTCGACAGAGCCAGTCATGGGATGGCTCGCAGCTCAGTTGAACACCATTCAGAGAATCACTCAGATTAGACATTGGAATCTTTCCCAGCTTCAAAGGCCAACAGGGGCTTTGGAACCTGGGCCACGCTGCAACCTTGTTACAACCTTTTTCCAACCCTCACCTTCCACAGGCACTTTGAGTGCCTGCAGTTCATCCCGTGCCTTCTCCAGTGCAGCTTGCAGTCTGCGCCCCGTGTGTGTGAGCTCCTCCAGGTGCTGCCTCTGCTGCTCCATGCTCGCCTGTAGCGCCTCCACTGGCCCCTTGCTGTCACGCCGCCGCTCGTACTCCAACCTGTGTGCCAGGCAGACGGCACATACGCACAAGGCACACATACCCAGGTATGCAGATGTACGCACACACACAAACACACACACACATGCCGACGACCACCGCATCCAGTTGAAACTGGGGGTGTTTAGCAGGTCCCACTCTCGCACTATTCATACCACAGCAATGCTCAACACATCAACAAATCTGTTCTCAATCTTCTCTCCACTACTTCCCTTCAACTCATACCACTGGCAAGAACTCTACACTCACTGGTTGAAGAGCTTGGCAATCTGGTTGGCAAGAGCGAGCCTGCGTTCCGCAAGCTGCTGTGCCTGCTGCAGCTAATTCTCTTGGAACTCTCGTAACACTCACAGCACGGCTGAACTCACTGGTTGGACAGCTTGGCAATCTGGTTGGCGAGGGCAAGTCTGCGCTCTGCAAGCTGCTGCGCCTGCTGCAGCTGGTTCTCCTCGTACTCTCGTATGTTCGCCACGCCCACAGCACGGCTGAACTCGCGGAACACCCGGTCCGTGATCTCATTTATCCTCTGCTCCTTTGCCCCCACCTGCTCCCGCCGTGCCTCGACCGCGGTTGTCAGCTGCACTCAGAAGAGAGACAAGGAGATGGAGAGCGTGTGTGTGTCACGTGTGTGAGGAAGGTAGAAGGAAGGCTGTAAAACGCCCTTTATATATGAAGAGTGCGAACAGAGCAGAGGGGGCAGAGCAGGCAGAGGAAGCAACGGAGGCACTGTCGGGCTTTACAAGGCACTGACTTGGTCGTTACAAGGCAATGACTTGGCCGCTACAAGGCACTGACTTGGCCGTTACAAGGCACTGACTTGGCCGTAACAAGGCACTGACTTGGCCGTTACAAGGCACTGACTTGGCCGTTACAAGGCACTGACTTGGCCGTTACAAGGCACTGACTTGGCCGTTACAAGGCACTGACCCGTGTGATTTCCGGGGCGATTCTCTCCTTCTCTGCAGCCATAACTGCCAGCTCCTGCTCCGCCTTGGTCACCTTCTCCTCTGACATCCTCTGCTCGCACAGAAATGGGTCATGGGGAAACAAAGGTGAGAAGGTTGAGCGAGGGAGAGGGAGAGCTAGTGGAAAGGGAGAGCCTGTGGAAAGGGTGCATGGTGGGGGGTCAATGCGTGCATGGACAAGGAAAAGAAAGGAAAGAATCTGAGAGGGAATGCAACGCAAGAACAGGGCCTTACGCACGGCAGACAGAGCACAGGGGCTAATGGGAGGAGAGCAGGCGAGCACAAGCACACAGCACACACACAGCATGCAAGACGCACCAGTTCCATCTCTGCGTACTGTGTCTTCCTCTCCAGCCCTGCAATCCGCGCAGCGATCTCCTGCTCCTTGCTCTGTGCCTCGCGCACTGACAGCACTTCTGACAGCTCCTTGGCCACCTTGTCCCGCGCTGCCTTGAGCTCTGGGGCACACGCGCGGGCGTGCGCACACACACACACACATGAAGATGTACACATTTAGAATCACACGGCACAAAAGTCGTGGCGTAGGGATGCCGTGTGCAAAACGGACAATGGCGAGGAGTGAGGGCAGGCACCGTAGGCAGAAGCGTTGTAAGGGGGGGTATTGGGGGGGAAGATGGGGAGGGTGGGGGTGTGACAAGAGCATAATCAAGAAAAATAGAAAAAGGAAACGAGAGGGATTAAATATACAAAACAAAACAAACAAAAAACAAGCAAGTAGGGAGCTTACTTTCGACCTCTTGCTCATCCCAGCGCTGCGAGCGTGACTCCATGCCTCCACTGGTGCCCCCTGTCATGCACCCGTTCTTGGCCAGCAATGTACCGTCCAGTGCCACCACTGTGTGCCATGCAGGGAGGGGGTCCGACATAGAATGTGGCAGCACACAAACACACGCACGCACACACCAACACGCATGCCCACGCATGCACTACCCACACATGCGCGCACATGCATTGCGTGCACACACACACGTGAGCACACAGACACACAGACAGACACACACACGCACACACACACGCACGCACGCACGCACGCACGCACGCACGCACACACACACACACACACACACACACACACACACACACGAACATAGAATTTCGCGTTGAGGCGTTTTGGGACCCCCTGAATGGAAGAAGATGATGGAACACACAGAGGGCCAACAATGCAGTGAAAAACTACCACTGCGTGCCATGGAGAAACGACCCATAAAACACACAGGATGAAGGAGGAGGTACACACACAGGTACACACACAGAACCACACACATACACCTCCATCCATGCCACCCTCCACACGCACACAGAAGCAACCCTTCCCCCCCCCTCCCCCTTCCCAACCACACACGTGCACTTACCTTTGTGCCTCTCTGCGCCCCATGCAACAGAGCGCGCCTCATCCAGAGTGTCACACACGAGCGTGTTGCCCACCGCATACACCATCGCCACCTCCACTGATGGGTCGTATGTGCTCCCAGCAACAGCGCACAGGCACGGTCAGCATAGAGCAGCAGGGAGCAGCGCAGCAAGCAAGAGTTAAGGAGAACGAAGGATGGGAACACAGCAAACAAAAGCCACGCAACCAGCAATGGTGATACGAGCAATTATGTTCAGGGACAAGCGAGAAGAGAGAGGAATTCTGGGTGGAGCAGAACTACAGGAGTGAGGTTGGAGGAAGGGGAGGAGAGCGGAGAGGAGAGAGGGGAGAGTTGAAAGTGGAGAAGGGAGAGGGGAAAGGGAAGGTGGAGGGTGGCTGAGGAGGATATTGAATGACGTCCAGCACGAGCTTGCATGTGCCCCCCAGCGACCGCAGGCGCTCGTTCACTGCCTTCACTCGTGCCGTCTGCAAGGGAATGAATGTCATGGGCGGCAGGCGCTGTGCTCGCAGGTACTGGTGTGCAGGGATAGAGCGGGGGGGGGCACAAGGGGAGAACGAAGAGGAGAGACGACGAAACAAGTAAGGTGTGCATGGAGAGAGCAGAGGACGAGGCAAAACGAGTATCTCTAGAGGCATAAAGGCCATGTAAGTAGTGTGGGCCCAGTCAGGTGCACATAGAACACAACTGCAGCAACAGAAGACACAACTGCAGCAGCAGAAAGCACACAACCCCTAGCTTCACACACTCACTTCCTCCAACCCCTCACATCCTCCACCCCTTCACCTCCTCAACGCCTTCCTTCTTCCACCCCCTCACCTCAATACACTCCTTGGCGGTGCGCGTCATCCACAGCCACAGCATCAAAAAGCTTCCCCATCACCACAGTAACTAATGAAAGTAGTATGACTCGACTCAAAAATCACCTCCACCCAAACTAACCTCAATGCATTCCTTGGCAGTGCGCTCATCATCCACAGCCACAGCATCAAACAGCTTCCCCATCACCACAGTAACCGCCATGTTGAACCGGCGCTGCGTGGGCTTGCACAGGTCTGACAGCCGCCCATGCACGCCCGGGAACAGGCGCTTCATGGTCGCCACCGTCTCTGCCATCCGCGTCTCGCGCTCGTTCTCCCGCCGGTCTGCTTTCAGCTCCCTCAGCTGCGCCTCTGCCTCCTCCAACCGCTGCTCCAGCGCCTCTGCTCGGTGCCTGCTTGCACGGAATTACAGAGGGTTTTATGTAGCACGAGGCAGAGTGGACACCGTGTTTAACACTAACTGCACGGAGATGCCATACACAAACTCCAGAAGCAAACACAGATGCAGAAATCCTAAGCACTCCTCCCGCTTCCAACCCCCTTATCTCTCGCCTCCCATTCCTCCCTCCCCACCCTCCCAACCCCCAACCCCTCCTCTTCCTTCAATAACCGACCAACCAATCAGCTCACCGAGCGCGGCGGTGGCGGTCGCGCATCTCCGTCTCCTCCTTCCTCAGCCGCTCAAGAGCCTCTCTCCCCTCCGCCAGGTCCTTCCCCACGCGCTCCACGCGCGCACGCGCCTGCTCCAGGTGCGCGCTCAGCTGCTCCTCCCTGCCCGCCATCTGCGCCACACTCGCCTCCATGCTCCTCTGCGCCTCCACATCCGCCTGCTGCTGCCGGTCCAGTGCCTCCTTCTCCTGCCGCAGTCTAAACGTCTTCGACCCCGCCTCCTCCTTCCTGAAGGGCAACAGCAGCAGCAGCGGGAGGAACAACAACAACAGCATGGCAAGTTTGGCCAGTAGTTTCCGTGGAGCTTCTTGAACGTTTCGCATCCCGGGCCAGCTTTTCCAGCCAAGCCTAGCAAACGAAACCATGAAAAAAACAGAACCATGATGCATTAACCACAAAACGCGTTTGATAGGAGGCGCTTCAACACGACCGCAGATCCACGCTAAAGCGTTAAAGGTAGAGGTACATCCCCACCTCTTCTGAAACTCCTCCACCTTTCCCTTAGGTGCTCCACCAGTAAGTCCACGCACTAGTGGAAACTTGGTAAGTGAAGGCGCTTCCAACCCCCCCGCCCCCCAACCGCCCACCTCTTGTGGTACTCTTCCAGCTGGCTCTGCGCGAGGTGCAGCTGCTGCTGGCCGCCCGCCTGGCTCATGCCCTCCATGTCCGCCAGCTCGCCCTGCACGTCCTCCAGGCTGCGCTCCAGCCGCGCCACCTCCTCCTGCTGCCGCGCCTGCAGCGCCTGCAGCTTCTCCAGCTTCTCCACGTCCTCCTTCAGCCGCTGCTCCGCACGCCGCATCTCCTCCTTCACCTTCACCATCTCCGGCCGCTGCAGGTGGGAAAAGTCAGCCGAAGCAGGTCAGGTCAGCGTCAAAACGAGGACGAGCATAAGAGATTTTTTTTTTTCTGACCATGTTGCACGGCGTACTGAACTTCCCAAGAACAAAGAGAGAGAAAAACGTGTGACTCGCCTTCTTGTCGATTTCTGCAGCCTTGCGCGCCACCTTCTTCTCGGCAGTCAGCACGTCCTTGCTATGCACTGCGCGCTCGCGCATTTTCTCCCGCTGCCGCTTCTCCACGTCGCCCTGCTCCTCCTGCACGCGCTGCAACTCCTCCCGCGACGCCGCCAGCGCGCTGCGAGCCGCGTTCATCTCCTTCTCGATGCAGTACAGCTGCCACAGGTAGAACTCGGCGCGTTTGTCTTTCTGCAACACCAGAACAAGAGCACACGCGCACTCGGAGGGTCAGGATCGGGCAAAGTCAACCAACACACTGCAATGCAAAATAATGGAACGAAATCTTTATGCATGCTTCTAAAAAAAGGTAGTAGAATATATTCCACGATGCAATGGACAGACTTCACGCCCGACGAAGCAGCATCAGATCGACTGACCAGATCCTGCTGCAGCTTAAGGTGCCGCTCGGCCTCCTCCTTCTGCTCCTTCTTGTGCTTCTTCTCCGAGCTCATGTTCTTTTTCTTCTGGTACGCGAACATGGTGCGCTCCTCCGCGCGGCTCTTGTCCGCCTCGCGCGCCTCGTACTCCTTGCGCAGCTCGTCCGACCCCGCGATCTGCTCGAACAGCCCCGTCAGCTCCTTGGGGCTCTTGGACGCGATCGACTCCACGTCACCCTGCGGAAACACGACAGGTTGCCACGTCACACATGTGCTGATACTGACACGTCACCTCAACTGCGAACGGATTTTTTTTTCCCAAAGAAGCTTTAATTGTTTTACGGACCTGAAAGACGAGGAAATTTCGTGCTTTAACGAGGATGCCGATGTCCTTGAGCCGCGAGTTGTAGTCGTCCCACGAAACCACGGAGCCGTTGATCCGATACTGACTGCTGCCAGAACTCGTTATAGCGCGAGTGAACTGCAGTTCCTCCATCCCAGAATACGTCGAAGCGGGCTGCGACGACTTTATATACACCAGCATCACGTGCGCTCCGCGGTTCGGGTCATCGCGATCGTCGTCGTCCAAGGCGTAGATTAAATCCTTGAGCTGCGAGCCGCGTAGATGAGCGGACCGCACGCCCAGCACGAAGCTTATGGCGTCCATAAGATTCGATTTCCCCGCGCCATTCGGGCCAACCACGGCTGTGAAATTCATGAACGGCCCGATGACCTGCCGACCCTTGTACGACTTGAAATTCTCCACCTCTATCCGGTGGACCATCCCCTCGTGAACCTGAGGACCTGGCATATTGTGGCTAAGGAGCAAGCTCCGACTCGCGGAAGATGAAAAGCAGCAGAAAGCAGAGACAGCTGTGGTGTAGGAATGGGCAAGATGAACAAGACTGAGATTCGTGAGATGGGACTACCCTACCCACTACGTTGGTAGTGGAGATTCTCAAGGTCGAATTAGGAGGCTACTACTATTCCCAGGGTCTAACCAGGTTGCTGCTGCTCTTGCCGCATGTCGCCTTGGGTTATCGAGCCAAGAAAATGGTTTCCTCCCTGCCATCCCACCACCAGGCCAGTCCAGCTAGACAAGCCTTGGGAGCGTCGTCAGAAACACACTTTCGTGAAGTCAAATTTCCCGCCAAAATGTTGCGCTATAGATTTCCAGCTTTACTAGTAAAGCTGGCATTGGGGTTGCCCTTCCTCCACCTAAGTTTCACAGCTAAACATTATATTTGGGCTGTATTAGTCTGAATCACTTCCTTAGAAAAAAAAGTCTGAATCACTACCAGCCAACCAACAGAAATGTTGTAAAAAAAATAAAAAGGCTTGCCATTTAGTGAATATGGCACCAGAAAAATCTAGAGTGTAAAACGTAAAAAACACAATTCGACATGCCCTATGGAAAGTACATAACTCTGTACCCAGCATACACGCGCACCCCATCCGACCATGGAGTGTTACAATCTGAAGTGTGACTTAGCGAAAGGATCGTTCAGGGTTGATCGCAGGCAGTGTTTGCAGCGGAAGTAGTGAACTCAGGTCAGAGTGAATGTAAATGACTGAGATTGATTATGATGGAAAGCGCGCGAATCTGGAGAGCGTAACAAGAGATTAAAACCGCCAACTTCGGCGAAACATTGTGTGCAGCTCACGTAACCTAGAACGATGAGCAAGTACGCGTTAGAAAGGTCTTAATCTCTACTTTCCAGAATGGTAAAGCACGCCTTCAACCAAGATATAGGCTGATCGCTATCGCGATTTATGTGCGACGGGGTATCATGGGGGAATTACTTGGCAGCCATGGATTAGATCTAGGAATTGTTTAAGCAAGAGTTCAGATGTGTAAAGTGACGAGTTGGTCAAACCCTACCAACCCAACCCTCGCCCTACAACAATCCCCAACACCCCAAAGTGCCAAACTAGCAACACTTAAGGTGTTGTAGTTGGTAACAAAGGTTTGTTGGTGCTTGTTGGGTGCGAGTTCAAATCCAGCCCGCAACAAGTCCAACCACCACATTTTGCCCAAACCCTTAGCCCACAACCAGCTAGAGCAAAATACCACAACCACCTACACAATCAACACTCCCCCTTGCTCGTGCTGGAGGTGGCTGAACACCACTGGGCAAAATCCTTCACTCCACTCCCCCTTGCCTAGAGAGAGGCGCCATCTACAGCATGAGGTCGTCAAGGCAGAGAAGCACCAATCCTCCCACATCCTGCTCAGGCACCATGCTAACATGGGGCTGCATCCCCATCAAGGACATGCACACACCATGCCGCTCAAAAAGAAAGGGTTTGGTGAGTATGTGTGCTGCCTGACGGTCGGTTGGGCACCACCGGAGGATCACCTCGCCACTAGCCACCATCTCCCTGATGAAATGCCACCGAACCTGCATGTGCTTGGTGCGGCCATGCAAGCATGCATTCTGTGCAAGGGCAATGGCAGACTGGTTGTCCACAAACACAGGCACACCACCAGCAAACTCATGCCCAAACTCCCCAAACAAACGCTTCAGCCAAAAACCCTCCTGAATGCACTGACACAGACTGATGTACTCACTCTCAGTGGTGGACAATGCAACCACCGGCTGCCTCTTGCTCTGCCAAGAGATGGCTGCACCATTGAGGCAATAGACATAGCCGGTGTGACTCTTGCGATCAGCTGAATCTCCAGCATAATCTGCATCACTAAAGCCCACCAACTCGACCTGAGGCTTGCTGTGTGCGGGGTAGAAGATACCTGACTTGACACAACCTTTCAGGTACCTTAGCACTCTCTTAGCAGCCTGCAGGTGAAATGCCTTGGGACAAGACACCACCTTGGACAGCTGTGACACTGCATAAGCAATCTGGGGCTGTGTGGTCGTGCTTGCATACATGAGAGACCCCACAATGCTTTGATAGAGCCGGACCAGCTCATCTTGCAGCAAGGGCTCCTCAGCATGTGCATGCACGTCGAACCCTGTAGGGAGAGGGGTACGCACGGGGTTAGCCTCAGAAAGCCCAAAGGACTCAAGCATGTTGAGAATGTATCTTTCCTGATGAATCAAGATGCCACTCTCATCACGCTCAATCTGCACCCCCAAATAGTACTTAGCCTCCCCCAAATCCTTCATGCGGAAACGAGAGGACAAGAGGCCCTTCACCTCGTCCAGCAAGCCCATGCTCGAAGAGATGAGCAGAATGTCATCCACATAGAGGTAGAGGGACAGCCTGCCCTCACGCCTCACCAAGTGGTACAAGGCGAGGTCACACTCCGACCTCTCAAAGCCAAAATCCATCAGCGCCTCATCAAACTTGAGGTACCACTGCCTTGGAGATTGCTTCAGCCCGTAGATTGATTTTATGAGTCGGCATACTCTGCCGGACCCATCATCAAAACCAGGGGGCTGCCTCATGTAAAGCTCCTTTTTCAAGACCCCATGAAGATAGGCAGTGGTCACATCCATGTGATGGACGTGAGACCCCGAGGACGCTGTTATCCCAAGTGATCCTCTCAGGGTAGTAGGCTTACCCAACGGGGTATATACCTCGTCATAGTGAACACCTCGTGTTTGAGTGTTCCCCATGGCCACCAACCTGGACTTAGGCCTCTCAATACTCCCATCAGCCATGTGCTTGTACTTCCACACCTACTGACACCTCAAGACCTCCATTCCAGGTGGCACACAAGCTGGATCAACCAGCTCAAAGGACTCGTTCACCCTATGAGACTCAAGCTCCTCACGCATAGACTCGACCCACTCAGGACGGGACAAGGCCTCCTTGATCGACTTAGGCTCATGCACCTGACCCATGAGACAGAAATCAAGCCCAAGCTCACCCCCCTCAGCATCCACAAGCATGCACTCCTCCAAATCATGCACCTCATGATCATGCATGCAAGCATACTGTGCACTTGGTGTGAACCTTTCAGGTGGCCGGGAGATGCGTGTGGTGCGGCGCAGAGGTGATGCCTCCCCCTGCTCCAAACTTTGCAGCTTCTCCTTCCAAGTTACTTTCTTCATAGGGGACCGTGGTGACTTGGATAGCTGCTGCTGCAATAGTCGCTGCCACCTTCCCACAGGAACAGGCGGTGTATGCTGCTGTGGAGGCTGCTGCGGCTTCTCTTGCTGCTGCTGCTGCTCTTGAGGCTGCTGCGGTTCATGGGCTGGTTTGTTAGGGTCAGGGGTGGAACCAGCAGTTGGGGAATCCTCATGGTGAGGTGCAGCTGCCTTGTGTTCCTCCTGCTGCTCCTCTACCTCCTCTCCAGGGTCCTCCCATGTCCCCTCAAAAATGGAAGAGGTGTAGGGATCCTGGAGGGAGCTCCCAACTGTACTAGCACCATGCTCCTTCCACCCCTTGTAGCTCAGCCCCTCATGGAAAACCACATCCCGGCTTTCCACCACCCGCTGATCCGCCACACTCCACAACATCCAAGCTTTGCTCCTCTCTGACACCCCAAGGAAAATGCCCCATTGTGCCTTGGGATCCAGCTTCCTCCGTTGCTGGTCGGGCACTTTGTACTGCGCCATGCACCCCCAGACTCGTGCCATGGACACACTAGGCACCTTCCTGGTCCACATGAAGTATGGGCTCTTGCCCCCTAGCCCCTTGCTGCCCATCCGGTTCTTAACCCAGTTGGCATATTGCACTGCTGCCCCCCACCAAGTATGGTCCAGCTGCGCATGAGCAAGCATGGCTCGGGCAAGGTCAATGAGGGTCCGGTTAAGCCGCTCCGCTGCCCCATTTTGCTGCGGCGTGTAGGCAACTGAAAGTTGGTGGGTGATGCCCTTATCCTCAAGGAAAGACTCCAGATCCTTCCCCATGTACTCCCCACCCCGATCAGACCGTAGTATTTTCACCTTGGCCCCGGCTTCCCTCTCCGCATAGCGTATCCAACGCTTGAAGACCTTGGCCACCTCATCCTTGTTATTCACCAAGGTGACCCAACTAAGGCGGCTGTAGTCATCCAGGAATGTGATGAAGTATTTGCTGCCCTTCTCTCTGTCCGGAGTTTGCATGGGGCCACACACATCCGTGTGCACCAACTCAAGAGGTGCAGCGGCCCGAGAGGTGGAGGTTGGAAAGGATGTCCTTGGCAGCTTCCCGGTGGTGCAATCAGGGCACTTGCTTGGCTGCCCACCACCTTCCTTGATCTCCACACCCTTCAGCTCCCCCTTCTTCACACACTCCACAAGTTGCTGCCTTCCTGCATGCCCCATGCGTAGGTGCAGCAAATCTGCCGTCACTTGCTCCACATCCTTCCAACGGGTGCTGCAAGCGGCATCCTCGGCTTCAACCCCATGTGCCCTTTCCACCTGAGGCACACAAACTGGAACAAGGTATAGACCCTTCTCTAACTTGGCCTCCATCACCACAGCTCCACCCTTGCAAACCGTGCCACCTTCCATGGTGAAGGTGCATATGTATTCTTGCTTCGCAAGCTGAGAGCATGAGAGAAGGTTGGCTGCCAATTCAGGAACATGAAGCACACCCTTCACATTCAGCACCTCCCCCTCCTTCCCTTTGACGGTGATGGTGCCGATGCCGATTGCTTGTAGCTTATCTCCGCTCCCCACAATCACATTTCTGGAGTTAGGTGGGAGGGAGTGATAGGTGGTGAAGAGGTCGCGCCGAGGCACCATTCCACAGGTTGCTCCAGAGTCTAGAATG